TTTGGACAATATATGGTGTATGTGCTTTACACAATGAGAAGCATTTCTTTAATTTGTTGGAACCATGGCTAGGGCTATAAGTGAGCAGGTATAGCAATAAATGAAGAAAAAGAAATTGGAATGACTTATCCGGCAAGTAGCGCCACCCAACAGCAGTGGCAGGTTGGTGTGGTGGCCCCTGAAATTTGAAATTATGCTAGCCAAAATTAGTGCCAGATTACTGATGAAACTGGATTACTGATTGCCAGATTAGTGATGGCCGACCTGTATTAAGCTGTACATTATTTAGTTTATATGTGGCATGGTTATTTTCCTGGCCAACATTTAGAACTTTGCATTTGTCTATACTAAACTGCATTTGCCACATCTCCGACCACTGCATCAGTCTATTCAAATTTTCCTGGAGTGCTGTAATGTCCTCATTAGAATGAATTGGACAGCCTATTTTGGTGTCATCAGCAAATTTGCTTATGTCGCTATTTATTCCCTCATACGTATATGTCATTTATGTAAATTGTGAACAACAAAGGGCCCAACACTGACCCCTGTGGAACACTGCTTGTGACGTGCCCCCACTCTGATTTCTTCCCATTTATGCAAACTCTGCTGCCTATTTGTCAACCATGCCTGTACCCATGAAAAAATTCTCCTCCTATTTATTTATTTATTTATTTATTTATTTATTTACAATTTGAGCACACATACAGAGGTACAAAAAAATACAGATAAGAGCAGCATGCCAAAGCCACTTATACTATGCATAGCATTACGGGCTGGCTTAAAATTAACTTAAGATTAACTAAGCAATGATGAAATCAGTGATAAAACATTAATGTAAACAGATTACTATAAAGCACAAGTGAGTATTACAAAGACAGGTCATATGGTTGCATGCATTGCTGTACATTCAGTAGAATGGAGTATTCTGTTAGGTAGTGTATTTAAAAAATAATAAAGTTAGATTGGGTTTTAGATTTAACATTTATGTGATATAATTGTGAGAAACATTTAAGATATACAATTTATAAGGTTCAGTTATTCAGTATTTATTTGGTTTTGGGTAAGTAAGTGATCTTTGAGAAGAGACTTGAATTTATAAACAGGTAGTGTTTCTTTTATATTTACAGGTAATGAATTCCAGATTTTAGGGCCTTTTATGTGCATTGAGTTTTGCATAGCGTGAGATGGACCGAGGAACATCAAAGAGTGATCTGTGCCTTGTGTTATGGTCATGTGTTCTGTTGAGGTTGGCAAGGAGATGTTTGCGGGGAGGGTTAATATCAGAGTTAAGTGTTCTATGTATGTAATAGGTGCAGTAATAAGTATGGATGTTTTGTATGGTGAGTAGGTTGAGTGTATTGAATATTGGTGGAGTGTGCTGCCTGTAGTGAGAATTTGTTATCATTCTAACTGCAGCCTTTTGTTGGGTAATTAGTGGTCTGAGATGGTTACTTGTTGTTGAGCCCATGCACAAATTCCATAGGTGAGATGGGGGTAAATAAGAGAGTGATATAGGGCCAGGAGGGCTGACTGGAGCATAGTACCGTATCTTCGATAGTATGCCTACAGTCTTGAAATTTTCTTTAGAAATTTGTTGTATATGTGTATGAAATTTGAGTCTATTATCAAGGTGGATTCCTAAGAATTTTCCCTCTGTTAGCTTTGTGATAGGTGATCCGTTTATCATTATGTTAAGGGGACATCTGTAGCTCTGTTACCAAACTGAATGAAGTAGGTTTTGTCAATGTTTAGTGTAAGTTTGTTAGTCCTCATCCAGGTAGATATTTTCTGTAATTCAGTATTTACAGTATTGGCTAGCGTGACTGGGCTCGGGTGGGAGAAGACGTATGTAGTGTCATCTCCAAATAGTGTGGGTTTGAGTAATTTGCGAAGCATTTGGTAGTCATTTATGTATAGGAGAAAGAGAAGAGGGCCAAGGACACTTCCCTGTGGGGACACCAACTGTAATTGGTTGTGCAGAAGAGTTTGCCCATTTGCGTACACATATTGGCTTTGTTGCTGAGGTATGACTTGAGGTAGTTGAGGGAGTGCCCTCTTATACCATAGTGTGACAATTTTACGTGGAGCAAGTCATGGTCAACTGTATCAAAAGCTTTACGTAAGTCAATGAAGATCCCCAGTGGGATTTCTTTTTTCTCTATTGCAGTGTATATATGTTCTAGCATGTGTATATAGCATCATTAGTATTTTTATTAGGCCTGAATCCAAATTGGCAGGGTTGAGTATGTTTTGGGAGATAAGGTAGGAGTAGATTCGTTTATGAATTAATTTTTCGAAGATTTTTGAGAGGGGTGTAAGTTGGATATTGGCCTATAGTTATTCAACTCTGTTTGGTCCCCTCTTTGTGGATCGGGGTGACCTTGCTATTTTGAGTACTGTAGGGAAGGTGGAGGATTCAATGGATTTGTTAAAGAGTGTTGCAATGATTGGTGATAGCACTTGTGACACTTTTTTTGTATATAAAGGGTGGTAAGGTATTTAAATCTCCTGCCTTGTTTTTAGTGTGTTGATAATAAGGGAGACTTCGTATGGGTTAGTCGGAGCTAGGAACAGTGTGTTCGGGTAGTTGCCGGTGAGGTAGTCATTTGGTGGGGTATCTGAGCTTGGGATTTTATTGGCAAGGTTTTGTCCTATAGTGGAGAAGAAATCATTGAGTCTGTCGCTGTTTCTTTTGGTGGAGTTGGGGTTCATCTGATTTTGCTAATTTTATTTCGCTATTTCGTGATATCTTTTTTGTTCCCAGAATTTCTGATAGGGTTTTCCAGGTCTTTTTTATATCACCTCGTAAGTTGGATATCTGTTCTCATAATACAATTTTTTGCCCTTCTTATAGGCTGGTTAGGATTGACGAGTAACGTTTTGTTTGGTCTCTGGTTATGTGACCCATTCTGTACTGTTTTTCATATTGGTGTTTTGTATTTATGGATTTGAGAATGCTGGGTGTTAGCCAGGGACTGTTCAGTCTCTTAGCTGTCATCGTTTAGTTTTTTAGGGCAGTGCTTGTTATAGAGGTATTGGGTCTTTTTTAGAAAATTATTAATACATTCGTCAATATCTGTATAGATTTCTAGCTCAGTGTGCCAGTCAATGTTTGCTACTGCTGTTGTGAAGTTATTAATGGCTGCCTCATTGTGAAGTCTGAAGGTGACTTTTTGTAGTGTCTTGGGGTAATTTACCAAGAGTTGTTATGAGGAAAGTAGGGGAGTGGTCTGTGGTATTATCTGTAATATGCCTGATTTTAAAGGGGATATGGTGTTGGTCCAGATGTGGTCAAGTAGGGAAACACTAGTCTCTGTAACTCTTGTAGGTTTTGTTACTGTTGGTAGCAACATACAGTTACTCATTGTGTTTGTGAATTCAGTAATGTGTGGGTCCCGGTCTTGCAGGAGATTTATTTGAAGTCACCTGAGAGTAGTAAGTGATCTTTGTTCATGCGTGCATCAGTTATCATACTTCCTAGGTTTTGACTAAATTGGCTAATGTTTGACTGTGGAACTCTGTAGATGTTTATCAATGTGAGAGGTTTTTGTAGGTATTTGGATTTGAATTTGGCTATTATATATTACCCCATGTTCATCCCTTGTGCAAGTATAGTGATACATTCTAGTTGGTCTGAGTAGTATAGGCTGTGCCCCCCCTTGTTGGTCTGGGCCTACAGTTGTGTATGGCTGTGTAACCCGGAATGGCATAGACATCTGTACTATCAGGCTTTAGCCAGGTTTCAGTTAGTGTAATGATGGCATATTGGCATGTAAGGAATTTAGTAATGCTATGAGGTCATCGTAATGCTTGCTTAAAGATCTGATATTGTAGTTAAAGATAGTTTTGTTGTTGTTGGCACTGAGAAGTGCCTTTGATTGTTCTGCAGTGTAGTAATTACAGTAACTGTTTGATTCATTTAAGTCATTAAATAAGAGGTTGGTATCAGGATCAATGCTTGTAATCATAAGATTTGTAGTGAATCTATAGTTAGAATTAAGTATAAAACAAGTAAATAGTCTTAAGCTAAACAATAGCACCTGAATTATTTAACAAATGTAAAATAATGAGCTAAGGTAGGTTTTTTTTTTTTTTTTTTTTTTTTTTTAAGCTAAAATAAAGGGGACAATATAAAAGGGACTAATACAAATAAAGTGATGATCAAATAATGGAGCTTGGGAATATGATAGTAGGTAGTACTATAAGGTAATTCTTTAAAGTTAGAATTATAGTATAAAATTATTAATATAAAAGGGGCTAATATAAGTTGTGGTGAACAATAAAGTGGTAATCAAATAAATGAGCTTTGGAATATAATGGCAAAATTGTGAACTTATTCTACTTTAGCACCTGTGTGCCTTAAGTTTTCTCAATAGCCTTTGATGTGGAACTCTATCAGAAGCCTTACTAAAGCCCATATGCACAATATCATATCCATTACTATGATCTACCTCCTCAAATACCTTAGTGAAAAAGATAGTAAATTCGTAAGGCAGGAAAAACTCCTTGATAAAAACCGTGTTGAGATTCATTAATCAATTTATGCCTTTCAAAATGGGCTACAAATTGCCTTGGCAGTTGTTGATTGACACTAACCTGTTTGCTCCAGTCTCACCCTTCAAGTGTCATGATGCTTGTGAAGGGCTCTTGATCCCAGGAATTAGAGCTATCTTCTCTTTCCTGGATCAAATCTGATTGCCTCCTATTACCCAAGTGCTATGGGTTTTGTGTCTCTGATGAATGTAATGACCCTACTGGATCAAACTGAGGTTTCTGATGGGATTACACTACCTGAGCATTTTCTGGACACAGTGTTGGGGGTAATACCCGATGGTCCAGTCCCAGATTGGCCTACTGATGGATGAAACTGATCAACCAGGCTGTTGGTGCTAGCTGCACATGGTTCACCATATGCACACAGCCCAGTGATTAGGAAGTAACTTGAAGAATTAATCAGCTTCCCTTGAAGACAGTCAGGGGTCAGTTGGTAATCTCGCCTTATGCTTATTGAATTGTCCCTTAGTGTACTCGCTGCAGTCTTTGACTTCATTGGGATATTTTGTGCCAACATGCTAAGCCCTCACTCCTTTCAAGGTAATGGCAATTTTTGTACTTCTAAGGTCTTTTATCATTTTTTTTTTTTTTTTTAAATTTTGTGAAACTTCAAAATGTTAGGGTCCTGATACACTGGGCCCATTGATTGAGGCTCATATCTTACTCACATTGGTAAGCAACACATTCTGGCAGTAGTGAATGATATTGAGCCTCTGTCCTCCCTCTCCCTTCAAGGGAATGCCTTGATGTTATTGAAGTGCTCTTGGTCCAAGAAACTAGAACTCCCTTCCAAGAGGGACAGTTATGATCATCCATCATGCATGCAAGGAACAGTAACAGATGGGTAATGAGCAGGGCTAGGCTGGCCTGGATAGAGGGTAGCTGTTGGTCAGCACTGGGATGCGACTCAAACAAGGAGAAATATGACCCTAAACAGAAAGAAAAGATGGGAAGTCCATTGCACCTATGTACAAGGCAGAGGCCTATCCTCCTAAAGAAGGAAGTAATGTAAAGCCCAGACACTATATGTAGAAGCAAGTTATGGTGTCAAATGTTAGTGTTGAAGTCATATATGTTCATCATTAACAAGAAATGTTCCCTTTCATATGTTTAAATTTCAAAAACACGGTACTTTCTAGATTATGTGCAAATCTGTAAGATGCAGTCGGTTACCAGCAAAGACTAAGGTGCAAAGCAGTTGATGAAGGAAGGAGTGCAGAGGAACGTGATCCTACCAAAGACCGCTCCAGAGTCATCCCAGTAGAGACAAGCATGAAAACATAAAGAGTGAAGGTAGGATCCATAATTCTGTGTTTTTTAAATTTTACCATCTTATGTAATTATACAGTTTGAGTCCCCTGAAATTTGTTCTTTCCCTTCCCTCCACAGAAAACTGTTAACAGGTAGTGGTAACCCACTCGGGAAATTACTATAGCTCCATCACATTAGAAATCTTCCATATGAAGAAAGATTGAAGTCCCTTAAATTACATTCACTTGCAAGACGAAGAATGAAGGGAGACATGATCGAAGTATAAAAGTGGAAGATGGGTATTAACAAAGGGGATATAAATAAGGTCTTGAGGATATCTCTCCAAGACAGAACCTGCAATAATGGATTCAAATTAGATAAATTTAGATTTAGAAAGGATATAGGAAAGTATTGGTTTGGAAATAGGGTAGTTGATAAGTGGAACAGTCTGCCTAGTAGGGTGATTGAAGCTAAAACTTTGGGTTGAATAAATACATGAGTGAGAGGGGTTAGATTTTAGTGGACTTGCATATTAGTTAATAGATATATCAAAGCTTGTTTGGGCTGCTTGAAAATGGGTTGGGCAAATGTTCTTTTAGTGGGATGGATTTGTGAAAGACTTGCCTAGTATGGGCCAACAGGCCTGCAACAGGGTTCCTCCTTATGTTCTTTAAAATGGAATCCTGTTAAACATTTTTGTTTTTTTTTGCAGGGTTGCTGGTTTTTTCTTACTTTCTGTTAAACATGTAAGATTACAAGTAAATCTTATGAACTTCTCACACTCAGTGTTACATTACACTTATTTTTACTTATCTATGTGCTTCTTAACCCATAAACGGTCCAAGCAGATCTACGTTCACATGTGTAGTGCTACAAAAGTAGATCTACGTTTTTTTTACATATTTTGAAATATAAAAAAAAAAAAGTAGATCAAAGTTTTTTTACACATTTTCAAATGTAAAAAAAAAAACAAAAAAGATCTACTTTTTTACATTCAAATGTTGAAAAAACGTATATATACGTTTGGAACCGTTTAGGGGTTTAAAATAGTTCTTAAATCCTGTAATACTCAAAACCAATTATGGTAGCCTGGTGTGAAACCAGGCCTGGGAAAGAAGGTTCTGCACTGTTGGGAATTTACAGACTATGAGTTTATCCTATTACCTCAGTCATTACAAACCCAGCTCCAGGATGTGACCCATAAAAGTTGGCTGGCACCCAGAGATTGCTTTACTGGTAGGGTTTGAACTCAGTCATGTTATCCCAGCTTTGCAGTACATACATGCACACAAATCAGTACAGCCTCCCCTCGCTTAACGACGGAGTTCTGGTTCTAAGACCACATTGGTAAACGAATTCATCACTAAGTGAGAACATACTATAATGGTAGGGGGTTTTGTTAACCATCTTTGATATTGTTTTAATGTCACCTTTGCACCATTTACAGGTACCATCCAACTTACAACCGAGTTTGGTTTCCAACCAAACTGGTCGTAAGTCAAAATGGGCATAAGTTGAACCTTAGAATATTGCCGATGGGGTTTACTGTACTTCCAATATTAAATCTTAATCTTGTAAAGCAATCATTTTTTGTGTTGTTGTGGAAATCACTTCAATCTGTTCATTATTATTGATTGGTTTTCACAAAATAGGTGAATAACTTCCGAGATAATAGCTGGGGAGGCACATACCCGAGTACGTACTCAGATAATATTTTTTTCGGCATATTTTTTTTTATGTTTCTATGCTATTCAATTTTTCCCCTTTAAATGTCACAATAGTCAGTTGTGATAGGTAAATAAGCCTTATTGTTGATATTAGCGTAAGAATAGAACCATTTTGTGGTGCTCTCTCTTGCTTGTGTCAGCATTTCTACCCAGAAGGTTCCGTATATCAACATCACAGTTATTGTAATGTTTTTTATTTTAATATTTTTGTATTTCATTTTTTACTTTACTTTTTATGCTGTTAGTACTGTATTTTGTACTGTAAGGTTTAGGAAAAACACTGTACACAACACAAACAGTTATTTCCTAGAACTTTGCATGCAAAACAATGTGTTTGAATCCACTTTGAATGTAAGAAACTGCATGAACAGAAAGTACAAAAATAATGAAATATACATGAAAAAACAAATAAGGATTGGGACACATTTACAGCCCACTAGTGCTGTAAGTCTTCCTCCTTTCTTATGTTTTTATGTAATAGAGAAGGGACACTGAAACATGCCTTCTCCAATCCATCCCTCCATATACATTCGCCTAACCTATTTTTATTTCTACACAAGCCATAGCTTTTGTAACTTTTCTGTTCATTCCAGCTGACTTTTCCATCACATGTATAACTACTACTACTACTACCTCTACTTGCTTGGATGAAACATGTCAGTAAAGGATCACATTACACTGTTGTCTGATCGTGTGCCTGACAGCCCTGCTGCCAACGCACAGTCATAAGTCGAGTGGTCGTATGTCGTGCAGGTCTTAAAATCGGATGGTGAGTGCATAACATTTTTGGTATACAGTGGTCCCTCGATAATAGTCAGGGTCGATAGTCGTCCTTTTGGAAATCGTCGCTTGTTTTAAATCCAAACATTGGATCGCAAAGGTCGGTTGACTCGCTATTGTCGTTTGTCCTGGACGCGTACTCACACTCTGAGCCGCCTCGACCTCCCTTCCCAGCCAGTGTGCCATTGTTTACCAGTGAGCGACGGTCCCCTCACGTGTTCATACGAAATATTTCATAATATTCCATTCATTTTAGTGCTTGCAAGTGCTAATAAGCTACCATGGCTCCAAAGAAAGCTCCTAGTGCCAAGCCTTTGGTAAAGAAGGTGAGAAATACAATTGAATTAACCCTTTGAGGGTTTTCGTCGTACTAGTACGTCTTAACGCGTAGGGGTTTTTGACGTACTAGTACTCATAAATCTAGCGACCTCAAATCTAGTGGGAGAAAGCTGGGTAGGCCTTCATATGAAAGAATGGGTCTATGTGGTCAGTGTGCACAGTCTAAAAAAAATCCTGCAGCACACGGTGCATAATGAGAAAAAAAAAAACTTTTTCCATTTTTTTTTAATAAATCAGCGACTTTGCAGTGTATTTTCGTATAGTATTTTATTGTTGTATTCTAGTTTTCTTGGTCTCTTTTATAGAATGGAAGACATATTACTGAAATTGAGATGATTTTGACTGGTTTTACAATGAAAGGTGCCTTGAAATTGAGCTCAAAGTAGCAGAAATGTTCGATTTTTACCAAACTTCAAAAGTAAACAAATCGTGCCAAGCGTGCAATACACGTCAACTGGTGAGTCTAATATTCTTTCACAAGTGCACCAATAATATTTATACCATTTTTTACACTAATGCAGTAGTCTGCATAACAGTAAATCTTATATTTTTTGTGAGAATAAAAATTCAAAGTGGAAAGCAAAAAGAATATAAGAGGGGCCTTGAGACGTGACTAATGACTAGAGGAATGTCATTTTAGTGCCAGGAATGTCTTTCTTGTTATTCTGGACCCTATTCCGAAATGGCATCTTTTGAAATTTGTGTGAAATTGGCAAAATTGCTAAATTCTGACCACTGTACTGGATAGTTGAATTCATAAATGGGTGGTTCTTGCACCCATTCGATAGAAAAAATGGAGTTCTAGCGAAATATTCATGTTTTTTGTCGACTAGTACAGTGAAATTGCCGAAAATGGGGCCAAAGTGGGCAAAAATCGCCGATCCGTAACATCGCCCAGACCGCTAAACTTTGCGAGAGCATAATTCCGTAAGTTTTCTATCAAATTTCAAACTTTTGGTGTCGTTATGATCGGGAAAAGATTCTCTATCTTTTCAAAAGAGAAAAAAATTTTTTTTTTTTTTTTTAAATTTTGGCCCGCCCCTGGAAACGATTTGGGAGAGGCCTGTCGCCCCCCCAAAGGGGTTAAAAAAAAAATCTTAAACCCAATATAAAAAGGGGGCGTACGTGGGGGCTGAACTGGCCAGGAGTATAACAAATCCCATACAACCATATTTTCCCCTCGGGCCAAGAAAAAAAAAAAAACCAAAAGGAAGCTTTTGTTGCAAAGGGGGTAAATATCTGCCCAAAAATGAGATCACCAGTACCAAAGGGATTTGAGAAGTTATTTTTGGTGGTAAAAACGAAAAACCCAATTAGCAGGAGAAAATTTTATGTGTCGAAAAAATTTTAAAAAGGCTAGGCATTTGGGCATGACGATTTGGAAAAGAAATTGCCTGCAACGAGCATTGAATTTTGTGAATTTAAGGCCAGCAAATTGGTTTGAGAGTTTTTAAGAACCTAGGGGCATAAAAAGTGGAAAAAAGGCATGGTGGGGCTCCCATTTTTCGGACAAAATTGCAGCTAAAAAATTTTCGTAAGGAATTAAGGGGGTACATAGAGGCGGAAGGCTGAAACCTGAAAAATTTTAAAAATTTGTGACAAAACGGGCCCTCTTTTGGAAAAAAAAGGGAAAAAGGGGAAACCTACATTACTCAGGGGGAAAAAGGGGAACAGCCAGGACAAAAAGCCTATGAAAGCCCGGCTAAACGCTCATGTTCTGTGCAAATTTGCTAGTGGGGATTTAAAAGTGAAGCCATCACTATGACCATTCTGAAAACCCCAGAGTTTTAAAAAAAAACAATTTTTATAAAAGAGTAAATTGTGTGTTTTTTGGAATCTAATAATAAGGCATGGGTTCACGGGGGAAAATTTTTCGGGAGTGGTTCAATGAATGTTTGGTCCTAGTTAAAAGGATTCCCTTTCCTGGAAAAAAATTTGGACCCCCAATTCCCTCCTAGTAAGGGAAATGCCCCTGCCTTTCCTCCAAACTTGGATGACCAAATTCTCCCGGGTTTGGGTTCCCCTTTGTAAATTTTCCCCCCCCCGAATCCCATTTCCTTCCTCCAGCCCCAGGGCCCAGCAGGCCCATTTAAAAAATTTTAAAAAAAAAACTCACAAAAAGCAAGTTTCAAAGGTGTTTTAAAGTGACCTCAACACTCACTTGCCCCTGGGAGATTTTTGGGA